CCCCCATGACCCTGGTGAGGGTTAAGTGGTGTATAGATAATGGATGGATTATTATCGACGACTTCAGACTGTTGATGTCTGTTTTGTTTTTGCATTTCATTTATTTTTTCAGAAACAGTCTTTACATTTTCTAAGAAGACTTTTCAGACATGATATTTTTCTGATATTTTATTAATATTCTTCGACCTTTTTTTTTGGATATTTCTTGTTATATTTACGGATGTGCTCTGATATTTTGTTGAACTGTAATAATATTTTTGTGATTGGCTCGGCCGAGGCGTCACGTGACCGGGGCGGCGAGCCAGCGTTGCCGTGGTTACCGCTGACTCCGTGCTCAGCGGCGCACATGGGAGCAGAGGGGAGTTCCCCGACAAATCGAACACAGCTGTGATCGGCGGAGTGAGCATGTGCAGAGAGACACCCGAACCTGCAGCGAGAGACGGTGTCGCCTCGAAAGGAGACAAAAAATAAACACAAACGGGCAGCAGGCGGCCACGAAAAGACGCAAACCAACCACACGGAGACACAAAATGAGCACAAAGAGCCCCAGACAACTAGAGACAGACACAAACAACTAAAAGACACAAAATGAACACAAAAAGACAAAAACACAACGATTACAGACACAAATACACACTAAATAACCACAAGGACACACAAAAGGACCAGAAAGACACAAAACAAACACAAAGAGATGCAAACAAACACAAATATTCACAAAATAAACAAAAAAAATCAACAAAATGACCAGAAAAACATACAGAACAATCACAAAATGACGCACAATGACCACGAATGTAAACACAACATGACCTCAGGTGACCTAAGACGACCACTAGGGGGCGCAACACGAACACAGACACACAAACGACAGTGAAAGGTTCAAATCAGACACAAGTTGATGCAAAACAAACAAACAGAAGAAAAACAAAAACAAACGAACACAACGAGCCGCCGACAGTCGACGCATCGACCCGACAGTGAAGAACCAGAACCGAGTCCTTCTGTGGAGGCTTAAGACCAGAAAAGTAATCGAGTAAATACTCTGCTGTCAGAAGTAATCTGATTACAGTGAGGGTCACAGTTCCACATCACTGCCTGACTGAGGCTCGTCTTCTTTGCCTGAGTTTCCTTCTGCCCTCGAGGTTTCTGTTTCTGGCCCTGAGGTCTGAGGTCTGAGGTCTGAGGTCTGAGGTCAGAGGTCGGAGGTCAGCTGACCCCACCCGGCCCTCCGCCAGCAAACAGCAGGTAAAACAAACCAAACGTACCTCGTGAGCGGAGCGCAGCAGTCGGTGGAAGCAGCAAGAGGACGGAGGAAACTCCCTCAAACACAAACAGCTGCAGCAGTGAGGTCATGGCTGGGCACGCCCCTCTGAGCGCGCTCAGTGTGCGTCTGGGTGTCGTTACCTTGTCGCTGTCGGCGGTGTTCTGCGACGTCCGGGAGGCGATGGACACGGTGTCGGGTTGGCTGCTGGCATCGCCGAGGCTGTCGGCGTCTTCGCTCGTCTCCCTGAAACACAAAGTCAGCGTGACGCCCAGAAGCTGCTGCAGCAGGAAGCGAGTGGAAGTCATGTGACTAAATAAACATAAAAGCTCAAAAATATACGATTAAATGGTTTAAATAGACTTACATCTACACATACATATATATATATATATATATACAATACAGAAAAACAATAAAGTGTCTAAAAAATAACTTTCCAAAATATATAAAAATATAAATACAAATTTGAAAGTGTTTGAAAAATCTAAATAACATTTTTTTAATATCAATAATTTCTCAGTCAAAATAAATTAAATGTGTGAAAATTATAGATAAACTGTTAATATTAAAATAAGACAAAAAAATCTCAGATTATTTAAATAAAAGGAGTGAAAAATGGTTTTAAAATTGAAAAATATAAATAAAAGGTGTAAAAATATGAACAGAAATATAAAATAAATGTAAAAACAAGAAAACATTTCAGAGAATTAGTTCTTTTTTATTTTTTAATTTCAGGAACCTAAACCTTCACATTCTCTGATCTGTTCTGGTTCTTCCGTCATTTGTCTCTTGGAATCAGAACCAGATCCACCGACCTGCGCGTGATGCTCCGCTGCCGACCCAACGTCGGGTTCGGCGTCTTCGGGAGGGGGATGGGCTCCCGCAGCGCCCCCCGCAGGTGGCCCCGCCTCTCCTGGATCACCTGGCGGATGCTGCGAACCCACTCCTGCTTCAGCTCCAGAGACGACGCCTGCAGGAGAACCAGACAGGTGGAGCGCTCAGGTGAGTCCGTCAGCAGGAACAAACAACGACCAGAGTTTCTGATGAAACCTGCCGCTCGGCGTTCAGACGTACCTTCAGGACGGTCTTGTTGTCGGAGGTGGGCGTCCGTCCGACCCACAGAGCGAACTTGCAGGGGTCGCCCTCGATGTGCTCCGTCACGCCCAGCTCCGAGGTCTGAAACACATCAACAGGTTATACATGAACTCAACGTCCCTGTAAACTGTCCTCATAAACCACAGGCGAGCTAAAGAGATACCGCCATGAACCACAGCATGAAGACCTCCACATAAAGCCCCACAAACAGGCACAATATCCCCAGAAACAACAGGAGAGGTAAATAAAAACCACAAAAAAGGAACAAAGTATCTCCATTAATCACAGAATGGATCCATCAACAATATCAAATTCTAAACGTCCTTCCAAACCATAAAAAACAAGAAAACACCTCCACAAATACCTAAATGTCATATTTTTTAGAAAAGTCTGTCTTCTCTTGTCCACCTTGTTGTGTTCGTTTTGGTTTAAACTCAGACATTCGTGGTGCATCTATAAAAGTCCTGTCTCATGATGCTGCCACCTCCGTGCTTCACTGTCAGGACTGTGGTGGTCCTGGTCTGGTTCACACCAAACATTCACACCAGCCCCATCCATCCCTCTAGTACAGGTATTTAAACTGTGTTTTACCCTCAGCCTGCTCTTGTACAGGTATTTGGTTCGTCCAGACGAGTCTTTGATCTCTTTGCTGAAGATGAGTGACAGCTCGAACAGGAAGAGGTGTCGGTCCCGCCCCTTTCGGATCAGCGACTTGGGCTCCCAGACCAGGAAGGAGTCCTGCAGGAGGAGCTCGCCCTGCACCTCCAGACCCTCCTCCAGACCTGCCGGGTGCAAGCACAGGTCCGATTATCGGTAAGGCAAGAATCAGCACATTTGTCCAGTTTTATCTCGAGCGACGGCGGCTTCCCAGTCAGTACAGTCTGAATGTGTGGAGCTACAGCCAACCTTTAAAGTGAACCGGATGTGTCCAACATGTCCAGTAGGACGTAAATATCCGACAGTACGACATGAAACGTGTCAGAATGGCTCGAACTTCTTAAAAGTGATTCCCTCATTATCTAAAATCACAATGTTTATGCAAACTGACTCAAATAATCCAGAATTACTACAAAAAAAATCCAAAATGAAGTAAAATTTGTCTAAAATGACTCAAAACTTGTTCAAAATTATTCTCCGAATATTTAAAAAGAGCAAAGTTTGTCCAACATGAGTCAAAAAACGTCCAAACTGTTTAAAATTACAAAAGAAATCCAAAATGACTTGAAAATTTGTCCAAAACGGCTCAAAGATGTGAGAAAAATGGCTGCTGATGAGGTTTGTTGACAGCTAGTGAGTTACCTTCCAGCATGCTAACGTGCATAGCGTCGTTAGCTCTCTTGGGGACGCTCAGCATCACGTCGAGGCCTTCCTTGATCTCGCCTTTTCCCTCCTCGCAGCAGGCCAGCAGCTCCTGAAGGGAAACACGTTTACGTCCTTTAAAGCGCCGACAGAGAAACTTTAGAGACGTTAAAGTCGGTGAAAGGACGCCGTGGTCACCTTGAGCAGCAGCTGGTATTTGGTGATCCTCTGGACGGGTTTGATCAGAGCCGAGGAGATGGAGTTGGCCAAACCGTGTCTCCTCTGGACCTCCTGAACACAAAACCTCAGACGTCAGGAAGCTTCACATTCGCTCGTTTACCGGTTTTAGCTCGTAAATGTAGCTGGATTTTGCTAAATGCTAATAAATAGGCTAACCAGCTGTGGAGCTTAGTACTGGATGGTACCTGATGTACTACAGCAGTTGTGGTATTTACAGCATGTCGAGCAGTATCTGTTGTGGAACTCGTAGATGTTCTGTAGATTTAGCATTGTACTGCACAGGTTGCAGTATTTGCAGTATATATTTTGGAGTATTGTTTGCAGTATCTGTTGTGGAATTCATGGACGTCCTGGATGTTTTACAGTGTACTACAAGTTTAGTGGTATTTGCAGTATATTTGGAGGTACATTTAGAAGACTGTGGTGGAGCTTGTAGGTGTCGTATTCCCCAATGCAGTACATGTATCGTAGTATCTGAAGTATATCAAATCAAAAGTAGTTTGTGGGTAAAATAAAGTTTTCCAAACCTCGAAGAACCCGACGCCGTGCTGCTGGATCAGTAAGCTGGAGTCGGGTTTGTTCCGGCAGTACGTCACGTACATGTGGAACTTATCCGCCTGAGGGCAACAAACACACTTTCACTCTTCAGTTCGTTTCAGCCTGTAAAGTCGATTTTACATCAATGTGAGCTGTCAGCTGGTTACCCAGGTAACGAAGCAGTGGCCCACGTCCTCGGGAAGCTGCTCGTAGTTTTCCAGCTCCTTCAGGAAAATACTGCAAAACACAGAGTACTGCGTTACTACACACACAGTCAGCAGCGCTGGTCCACTGGTGGAAGCTTTCATTCTGTTCAGGTCAACTGTATCTGATGAAACATTGGCAGTTTAATTGTAGTACATGTGGGTAGGGTCAGGGTACTACTGCAGTATATATCATAGTACCTGCTGTAAGTGTGGTGGATGTCCCAGATAATGTACTACAGTTGTACATATTGTTTAAAGGTATGTAGCAGTACCTGTTGGACCCATGTACATCCTGGATATTTCCTACTATAGTACATGTACTGTAGTATTTGCAGCACACTTAAGAGTATATTTTGCAGAACCTATTGTGGAACTGAGAGATATCTTGGTTATTCCCCAATATAGTACATGTATAATAGTATTTGCAGTATATTTCAGAGTACATTCTGTAATACTTGTGGTGGAACTCGTCGATAACCTGGATTTTTTGCATTATACTACATGTATCGTAGTATTGGCAGTATATTTCTGAATATATTCTGCAGTATCTGTTGTGGAACTTGAAGATATTTCCTGCTGTAGTACATGTATAGTAGTATTTGCGGTATATTTAAGCGTATACTCTGCAGTACCTGTTGTGGAACTCGTAGATGTCCTGGATGTTTCCGAACACGATGTCGTCCTTGTTGGCCAGACCAGGTGGGACGTCCTCCGAGCCGCTCGTCATCTCCCACAGGTACGTCTGCGTCGGGACACAGTATTACCACTGGCGAAGTACTACGCAGTATGACGCAGTACAACACGGTGTCATTTCTGTCTGAACCAACGTACCTCGATACACTCCTGCAGATCTCTGACGTAGACTCTCTCGGTCTGGAGGAGCTCGGCCATGATGTACCTGAGGACCAACACAGGCGTCAGCGCTCCAGTACTGCAACTCGTAGTACCAGTACCAACAGTACTCACTCTTTCTTGCGGGCGGAGCGTCTCTTCTCGTCGCTGACCTGGTGGCTGGGGTCGGACAGGTTGACCTCTGGGTCGGAGTCGGACAGACTGTTGGGGATGAGCTCCAGCTCCAGGTCCTTGTTGTCCTGCCGGAGACACGAACGCGTTCAGACCAACCGGACAAACAAACCGACGCTAGCTTCAGATGCGTCCTGCGTTACCTGCGAGCAGCCCCCCAGCGCCGTCTCCAGCAGGTGGCGGTACTGGCCCATCCGGACGGTGAAGTCGCGGTAACGTTTGTCCACCGTGGACACGCAGCGGCGCAGCTCGGTGCGGTGGGCGTGGCCTTTAGCCAGCATGCTCTCAGCCAGCTGGATCAGCAGGTGAACCTTCTCCTGGGTGTGCTGAGGAACGGCGTCGACAGGCGTCAGTGGTTGTGTCTCT